GTTTCTTCTCCTCTTCTCTTGGGTGATTCACATGGGTGATTCAGAAATTGCGGGGTGGGGGGAGAGAGTAAGGAAGGAAGGAAGGAAGTATGGGAGGGAGGGGGATGGTAGGGGGAGAGGGGGAGAGAGAGAAAGGTAAGAGAAGAGAAGAGAAGAGAAGAGAAGAGACTTTATTGGCTAAATGTGATAGTATTGAATGCCAAGCAGAAGTCTACAAAAAGGACCTGTGCCTAGGTCCTTGGAGATTCCAGATGTTGCCAGATGTAGTTCAGTGCCATATTGACCGCACCATCTATTTGTGTGGTAGACAAACTGCAAGGGGTCTAACAGCGGATCTGTGATGTTTTTCAGGTGGGCCAACACTAACCTCCCAAAGGCTTTCACAACTATGGATGTCAGAGCAACCGGTCTGTAGTCATTCGGCTCCTGGGCGGAGGGTTTCTTGGGCACTGGGGTGAGAGTAGAGTGCTTGAAGCAAGAAGGGACCTAGCGCCCCTCCAGGGATTTATGAAAGATGCAGGTGAAGATGGGAGGGGCCGTAGATCAGCCCAGGATTCCAAGCAAGAAGGAGTTGCTCCATCTGGGCCTGATGCTTTTCTGCCCTTTTGTCTATGAAATAAACCTTGCACATCTTTTTCTAGGAACACCAGAGGGGGAGGGGGAGGGCAGAAGGGTGGAGATAGGTGTGGGACATTTGGCTCCTGTTGGTGTATCTGAGGTGGGAAAAGTAGCAGTAGATGACAATGGTCTCTTCTCCAACCGAGACCGGAACTCTTTCCAACCCTCTGACCGTTGATGTGTCTGCCAGATGACACGGAGCCTCCTGGACGTGGCTTATGGGAACAGGCTGAAGATCCTGGAGTGGCCATTCTGGAGAGAAGACAACTAAGGCCTTTGAAGAGCATTGGGGGACATCAGAAGGGGCCCAAGGGAAGATGGGCAGGAGCAATTCTGCTGCAGAGGCTCTGGGTTCTCCCAGGAATTGACGTTACTGATGACTTACAAACAGGTGGCAGGCAAAGGAGACTTTGCAGGGACAACTATTATGTGTAAAGTAAACATGTATCTACATCCATAAGAAACCCTCGTGTATCTAATGTTTTTCCTGCTGTGTTCTTTTCCTGTTTTTCTTCTTTTCTGTTCTACTTGGTTGAATAAAGGCACTCTTCCTTCCCCTGTGCACTCTTTCTGGAGAGCCACATTGAGGAATGTTGCACTTCCTCTCAACCCCTCTTCCTCTGGGGGGGGGCATGGATCAAGGTGGGGAGGGGAAACCCCCAAAGGGGCCGAAGGAGACACATGAGACCAAGAGGGCAGCTGGAACCAAAGCTTTATTGCAGAAAAAAAGGAATGAGCCCAGGGTGGGGTTTGGGGGGAGGGTCTCCGGGGTGGTCCAGGACTGAAGAAGACTCTTTGGGTCAAGTTCAAACATTTGTTCCAATCTGGGAGGGTCTCTTCATGGGTGCTCCTGTAAAAAGAAACGTTCAGATATGAGGTTTCTGCCCAGAACTGAACCCCGTGCTTCTCCCTGCCTCATCTTAGAACCATGGAAACCCAAAGCTGAAATCAGGAGGAATGTTCTGATTGGGAAAGAAGGGAAGCAATGGGACAGCCTCTCCATTGGAGTTCTGGGACTCTATCACTGGGGGTTTCATGCAACGATGGGGCAGAATCTCTCCAGGGTGCTCTGAGGATTTCTGTATTGGAAGGAGGTTGGACTAGATCAGAGGTCTCCAACCTTGGCCACTTTAAGACTTGTGGACTTCAACCCCCAGAGTTCCTCAACCAGCAAAGTTATGGGAGTTGAAGTCCACAAGTCTTAAAGTTGCCAAGGTTGGAGACCCCTGGACTAGATGACCTCCAGTGTTTCCCCCAATCCTCTCCTTCTAGGAGACCTCAAGGCCACCTCTTGGAACACAGACAAGGACATGCTCACAGGAGCTTTCTAACTTGCCAAGAGGATGAGCTGGACCAAAGTGGGCAAAGGTCTTCTATCAGAGCTTCTGCTTCTCCTGGAAGTCCTCTTTGCCTGGATCCTTCTGGCTTTCTGACCAGGATGATGGCCATGAAGAGGGCCATTTTTTTTTCAATACAGTGCCAAGCAGCAGCTAAATGGGTGCGGTGGAGCATTCTACCAATGGAGGTTCAAGAGGAGAAGAGGTCAAGAGACAGTGGGAGGGGGAGGGTCAGTCAGATACGTGCGGATATTGATCTGGAAGAAGGGTCCCACCACACCAGGTTCTGCTTCAGCATCGTGGCACTTTCCTTTTGGGCACCTGCTCTCCCTTTGATGGACATGAGGAGAGCCTGGAAGACCCCAGAGAAACCTGCAGGTGCCCAGACCACGTTGAGGCCTAGGAGACCCCCCACAACTTCTCCTTTGGTCTACACAAAGTGCACAGGGGACAATGTATGGGACCTACCATGCATCGTATAGACAATGTCCTTGCACTTAGTCAGGCAACCGTAACGGCAACACTTCTGCTGCCCAGGACAGTTCCAGTCATGTTGACACTTCTCAAGACAAGGAAGTTTTTGTTGTTGTTGTTGTTGTTGTTGAGGGGCCCGGGGACACTCTCCAGGTTTTTCTGCAAAGGAGAAGATCCCAAGGCTGAGAGAATCCTCCAGAATTGGAATCCCAGATCAAGAAAGATCCCATCTCTGGGCCTTTCAGGACCCAAAACATCTCCATACATTTAGGAATGAAGCATTCCTAGCTGGAGCCGGATCCCATCTCTGTTCCCACAGAGTGGACCCATTTCCTTCTGGAGTCAACCTCTCAGGACCCTGGGGGAGGGGGGAGACTATAAATGCCCCCCCTTCTCTTGGCTGGGATCGGGGGTGGACATGGACAACCCCAGTTTCCACCAAAGAGGAAGGAGGAATTCCAAGGAGTGGTGGGGTAGAGACTTTCTGGGCTGGTTCTGCACATTCCCACAACCAGGGGCGTATTAACCATTAAGCAGACTAAGCACATGCTTAGGGCACCAGGCCCAAAGGGGGCACCAAAAAGATGAGAGAGAGAAAAACCCAAATTGATAAAACAAAGGAGGGAGGCACCAAGATTTGTCAGGGCACCAGTGACCCTTAATCCGCCACTGCCCACAGTCCCCTCCCCAAATACGGGGGTGGTGGTGGTGGTGGTAAGACAGGACCCTTCCCAAAGCAGAGGCTGGACAACCTGTCCTTGGACCTCTTGGAAGTTGCCTGAAGTTCTTAGGCTAAATCGGGACCCTCAGAATTGGGTCCTTGGTGGTTCATGGACTGGGCAGGATGCAGCCATCATGCCAATATCCCCATAAACAGGGACAAAAACCCCAACAGAAAATAATACCCAAATCGAGAAAACATCATGAAGAAAAACCCACCCCCACCAAGGCTTATTATGCAAGTGGAAGTATCTAAACAGAGAGCAAACTCCGCTCTCTTCTAGCATTGATAATGTTCCCTACTTCGGTAATGAAATGTCTGCAAGAAAACAACCAGGCTTAGAGAGCAACAAAGACCTCCTCCTCCTCCCCACTCCTCCTCCCTGCAAACTCCCCTGACTTCTAGTACTGATGATGTTCCTTAGTTTAAAAACCACCCAGCTCAGAGAGCACCAGAGTTTTAACAGTTCAACCCGATTGACAAAGATTCCCTGTTGTGAGAAGCACGATGTTTCATTAGCCCATCTTATGCTTAGTGTTAAGAGACAGCAGGTTTTTTTCAACGAAGAGGTCAATCTGCAGCTCCTTCCCTTCCCTACTTACCAACACAGGCGTAGCGACATTGATCCAGAGTCTTAAAATTATTGCCATTCCCCTGGCATCCACTGTAAGTAAACTTTTCACATTGTTTTGAAGCCGGGTTGTAGTAGAAGCGAGGCATTTTGGCTTTACATGGTCCAGTTTCCGCAGGAAGGTAACAAAACTCTATGACAAATGGAAAGGGGAGGGGGGATGTTATTGGATTGGCTAGCACAAAAGTCTTTAACTCACTTCCCCAACCTGGTGCCCTCTTAGCATGCTCAGTCTGCAAACAGTCCAGAGCCATCTAAGATGTTTTAATTTGGTTTCCTGCTCTGGGAGTTGGACAGGATGTCTGAATGACAGTTCCTATTGCTTAAAATCCTGATACTGAGGAGACTTTGGTAATTTCTGCGCCTGGCAGTTTTTTTGAAGCTTTGAAGTTTCATTATCCAGACTAGGGAACATCTTCATGAGCACTGATGATGCTACCTAGTTTGGGTCATGAAACATCTGCAAGAAAGCAACCAAGCTCAGAGAGCATCAAAGACCCCTCATTTCAATCCTAGCTACAAATATTCTCCTTTCATTATCCCGATTCTTCTGCTGCATTGAGTCAAGATAGGTCAGCCTTCCCCTAAAACTGCATCTCTCTTTCCTGAGGCATCCTCCCATTTCTGTCTCCTGTTCAGCTGACACCCAACCACCATCTTAAGAACCTCCCCCAGGAGAAGCCCCACCAAGCCAGAGGTTCTAGACGGGGGTCTTTGGTTTCTGATCACTTCACCCCTCCCTTCCAAGGGTCTCCAGATCTTTCTGAAAGCTCACTTGGACGGTCCTGGCCGGAGATTGGGGTCAGCTCTGCCCAGAGGGTGAGGAGTCCCAGCAGGAGAAGAAGACCTCCAGAAGACATGATGAAGCCGTCTGCCCCACACTCAGGCTGCTGGCTCTATTTATTCTCCCCGCTGGGAATTTCACACCTCCAGATCCAGGAAGCAGGATGACTTAATGCAGAGACAATCTGAATTCCTTCCTCTTTCACAAGATGGTGGAACAAGGAGTGGAGAATCTGGGAATGTAGATTCATGGACACTTTGGGAGAGGCTAGGCAGGGCCCTGTTGTCCCTATAGAATAGAATAGAATAGAATAGAATAGAATAGAATCTGGAAGGGACCTTGGAGGTCTTCTAGTCCAGCCCCCTGCTCAAGCATTTCAGACGAATACCATTCAGACGAATAGCTGTCCAATCTCTTCTTATAAACCTCCAGTGATGGACCACCCACAACTTCTGGAGGGAAGCTGTTCCACTGGTTAATTGTTCTGTCAGGAAGTTTCTCCTTAATTCCAAATTGCTTTAGAAAATAAGTTGACCCCCTCCTCTTTGTGGCAGCCCCTCAAATACTGGAATACTCCTATCATGTCACCTCTAGTCCTTCTTTTCTCTAGGTTAGCCAAACCCAAATCCTGCAACCATTCTTCATTTGTTTCCCTCCCCATCCCAGGCCTTTGATCATCCTAGTTTTTCTTCTCTGCACTTTTTCCAAAGTCTCAACATTTTTTTGCAATGTGGTGACCAAAATTGGATGCAGAATTCCAGGTGTGGCCTTACTAAGGCTTTATAAAGTGGCCCCGATACTTCGCCTGATTTTGATTCTATGCCTCTATTTATACAACCCAGGATTGTGTTCGCCTTTTCGGCTGCTGCCAAAACTGCTGGCTCATGTCTAAGAGATTGTCACTTAGACTCCAAGGTCCCTCACAGTTCCTGTTTTTGAGCCAGGTTTCTCCTAATCTGTACTTTTACCTTTGGTGTTTCCTGTCTTTTCCACGAAATAGGATCCTTTAGAAGTGACCCTGAGGGAATAGTGATAAAAATGGTGTTAGATTGTGTGGAGATGGACAAGCTAACATTAGAATTAAAAGAAAGAGGGGAAATGAAATATTATTTAGTCTGGGACACATGGTATAAATGGTGAGAAAATAGAAGTAAAGATTAAATATAAAGGTAATTTAAGGGGTATATTAAACTTAATGGCAATGCAGATAGTTAAAGAAGAAAAAAGGAATGTAATTGATACATATATATGAGTATTATTGATGCTGGAGCACTGCAAAGACTGCAAAAGTGATATAAAATGATGAAATATGTTTAATAAAAATATTTTTAAAAAAGAAGAAGTGATCCTGCAGATCATTTCGGTAAGACGGAATTGTTGCATCTCTGAAACCCAACAGGGTCAACCCGGCCTCCATCCCAACATCTGAACTGCAACTAAGCAGCCCTGCCACACCAGTTGCAATCTTGCAAAATCAAAGCAATTGCTATTTGGGTGCTGTTTTTAATGTTTGGTATCGATGAGCCTTATTGCTTATTGCTATGCAACAAATGGGAATTCTCCTACATTCTCAGACCTTGCCTAATCCAAATCCATCTCTCACTGCAGTTGAAGTTCTCTCTGTCTTGTGAAACTTGTGAGTTTCCATTGGTTCTTACCCAGGAGCTTGCTCTTCCTGAGACCATCATCGGTGAACTGTCCTTAAATATCACATTTCGATTCTTACTATGTTACAGAGCCCCTGATTATGACATCGAACATGCAAACAAGCTAAATTCACTACTAACATGGGCAGCATCCTGCCCACACGCTTTTATCTTTCTTGGTGACTTCAATCTACCTCATATTGACTGGACCCTAAACGAATGTAATACTGAACCCATACACGCAACCTTCTACAATGCTGATACAAATCTGGGACTGGAACAACTAGTAACCAACAACACTAGACTAAACAACTGCCTCGATCTCATCTTCTGCAATAATTTGAATTTAATTTATGGAATACAAACTAAAGAACCCTTTTCCAGCAGTGACCACAATATGATTGACTTTTGCCTCAACATACGCCCACACAAAAATCATCACAATGACGTAATCCCCAATTATAACTTCGAAAAAGGCAACTATGATCTTATAGACAACGATCTCTCATCCCTTGATTGGCAATCTCTATTCACTGGATGCAATACTGTTGAAGACCATTACAACATATTTTTACTTGAAGTCAAAAGAGTCATCAAACTATATGTACCAACAACAACTCCCAAAACAAAAAAAAACCAGATTACCCATAACAATAAGGAAACTTCAATCCAAAAAGAGATCACTCTGGTGGAAAAACAAATCTGGTCACGTGGGCCAATTTCAAAAGCCGATACAAAAATGCCACCAGATAAAGACTGAATGCACCAATTATCACATTAAACAAGAGGAAAACCTTCTACGCACCAATTCCACCTGCGCTTTTTACAATTTTGTAAACAACAAACTAAAAGACTCAAGGTCCATCCCACCCCTGATAGGACCTAATGGTAAAGACTGCAACAACGACACCATTAAAGCCAACATCTTTAACACATTCTTCGGCTCAGTATTTGTAAACAGCAATGGATCATGCCCAGTATTTCCTAGTCGAACCACAGACAACTACAATGATCTAATACATATCGATTTTACAGAAGACAATGTTGAAAAAGCACTATGCAATCTAAAACCAACTCTATCTATTGGACCAGATGGAATATGTGCCTACTTCTTTAAAAAGCTATCCACTGCCATAGCAGAACCTCTAAGCATAATCTTTGAAAAATCTTTCAGGACCAGTTCCTTGCCTAACCTATGGTCACAAGCCACGGTCATCCCCAGCTTCAAAAAGGGAGACCCCAGCCTAGTTGGGGTCACCTGTAAAGTCATGGAATCAATTATTAACCAATCCATCATCCTCCACTAAGAGACAAACAACCTACTCTCCAATAAACAATTTGGTTTCAGGAAAAAACTATCCTGTAATCTGCAACTCTTACACTGCAAAAACATATGGACTACACAACTCGATCAGGGCAAAGCAATAGACGCAATCTACATACACTTCTGTAAAGCCTTTGATTCAGTGATACACGACAAACTACTCCTAAAACTAAAATCTTATGTATCTCTGGACAACTGCATAACTGGATAGAAGCAGTCCTGTCAAACAGACAACAAATGGTCAAAATTGGGAGTGTCCTATCAAATTCTGTACCTGTCAATAGTGGTGTCCCCCAAGGCAGTGTTCTTGGACCAACTCTCTTCATACTCTACATAAATGACCTCTGTGATCATATTAAGAGCAACTGCGTTCTTTTCGCTGATGATGTAAAGCTGTTCAATACCACAGACAATACTGCTACCCTTCAAAAAGATCTTGACTATGTATCAGAATGGTCAAACAAATGGCAACTTCAAATCTCAACAAATAAATGCTCTGTCTTACATATTGGCAAAAAAAATCAGAAAATAAAATACAAGCTGAATAGTCAAAACCTTGTTGATGATCCAAACTCTGTCAAGGACCTTGGTGCTAGAGCCTAATGATCTAAGTGCTAGAGGCCACTATAACTACATAGCCAAAAAGGCTTTAAGAGTTGTTAACCTAATCTTACGTAGCTTTTTCTCTGGTAATATTACACTAATAACTAGAGCATAGAAAACATTTGCGAGATCAATACTCAAATACATCTCATCAGTCTGGAACCCACATTATGTATCTGATATTAACACAGTTGAGAAAGTCCAGAAATATTTCACAAGAAGAGTTCTCCACTCCTCTACTCGTTGCAGAATACCTTATGCCACCAGACTCTAAATTCTAGACCTAGAAAACCTAGAACTACGCCTCCTTCGATCCGATCTAAGTATAGTATATAAAATCATACATTGCAATGTCCTACCTGTCAATGAATACTTCAGCTTCAACCATAACAACACAAGAGCAAACAATAGATACAAACTCAAGGTTAACCGCACCAAACTTGACTGCAGGAAATACGACTTCAGCAACTTTAACCTTAGACTGTCTACTATTGACCTCACCCCTTTCCTAAGAGGTCTGTAGGGGGTGTGCATAAGCACACCAACGTGCCTACCATCCCTGTCCTATTGTTTATTTTTCTTAAATGTACCCATTTCATGTATTCATAATTATGTATATACTTATACCTATTATCTTGTAAGTGATTGACAAATCAAATAAATAAATAAATAAATAAAAACTGCTAGCAGAGAACCCTAATTACCCCAGGGAGCTCCTCCCTCACCCCCCGCCCATCTATTAACCACTGTTGGTTGAGGAGGAACAAGGACAGATAAAGGAAGGAGGAACAATCAATATCACTAGCAGGCAGGAGAAGCTGCTGTGTGCCAACCCTTCCTATTCATGGACCAATCTTACTGCCCTGAGGACATCACCAGGAACCGCAGTGAAAGGTGATCAATATGCAAACCAGGTTCTCAGAGCACCAAGGATCCACCAAGGAGATACCAAGGGTGGGGCCACAAGGGTTTTTCCTGGTCCTCTGCTCTTTGGTGTGGCTCTGAATTTCTGGGCGAAGAGGGGGAGGAAATGCAAATTGATTGCATGGGACAGTTTATCCTCTGGAAGAAGAAAATAAAATCCACAATTACCTCATTACAAGAAGAAATGGGTGGAAGATCATTAAAGAGAGATTCAACAACTAAGGAGAAATTTCCTGACAGTGTGAACAATTAATCCGTGGACGGTCTCAAAGATCTTCTAGTCCAACCCCTTGCTCACGGCGGACAGAGAAGTGGTTGTCCTGTCTCTTCTTAAAACCCTCCAGTGACGGAGCACTCACAATTTCTGGAGAGAAGCTCTTCTACTGATTAATTGTTCTCACTGTCAGGAAATGTCTCGTTAGTTCTAGGTTGCTTCTGTAGTAACTCTTGATTAAGTTCCATCCTTTGCTTCTTGTCCTGCCTTCTGGTGCTTTGGAGATATAGGTTGCCCCACTCTTCTTTGGGGCAGACCCTCAGATATTGGAACTCTTGCTATCATGTTGCCCTTAGTCTTTCTTTTCATTAAACTAGACATTCCTAGTTCCCTCAACCATTCATTGTATGATTTCATCTATTTATTTATTTATTTTATTTATTTATTTGATTTGCCAATTGTTTACAAGATAATAAGTATAAGTGTATACATAGTTGTGAATACATGAAATGGGTACATATAAGAAAAATAAAAGAATAAGAGAAACAATAGGACAGGGACGGTAGGCACGTTGGTGCGCTTATGCACGCCCCCTACAGACCTCTTAGGAAAGGGGTGAGGTCAATAGTAGACAGTCTAAGGTTAAAATTTTTGGGGTTTGGGGAAGAAACTACAGAGTCGGGTAGAGTATTCCAGACATTGACCACTCTATTGCTGAAGTCGTATTTCCTGCAATCAAGTTTGGTGCGGTTTACTTTGAGTTTGTATCTATTGTCTACTACTTCTACTACTTCTACTACTTCTAGTAGAAGTAGTACTTCTACTACTTCAGAAAAGTGACTGTCCAATCTCTTTTTTAAAAACCTCCAGTGATGAAGCACCTACAACATCTGGAGAGAAGCTGTTCCACTGGTTAATTGTTCTCATTGTTGGGACATACTTTCTAGTCCAAACTCTTGCTCAAGCAGCAGGCCCTACACTATTCCAGACAAATTGCTGTCCAATCTTCTCTGAAAATCTTCCAGCAACGGAGCATCCCACCACTTCAGAAGTCATTCCACTAATTAATGGTTCTCCCTGTCACCAAATTTCTCCTTAGTTCTAATTTCCATCTCCCTTTAATGATCCTCCACCCATTTCTTCTTGTAATGAGGGGTTGGAAGAAATATCCATCTGGTTCAGTTCCAAGCTGAGAGAAAGGCGCTGGAGGCCAAATGAAGGCTGGAGGCTGATTGGGAAGATGGTTTATTGGGGAACAGAACCACCAAGCACATGTGATCATGGGTAGCTGACCACATGGAGTTAAGAGAGAGTGCCCTTTTTGACCTTTTCTTGGGCTTTGCACTTGAACTTCCTGTTCTTTTGCAAGAACATGTATTCTGTTGGCTGTTGTCAGACTCCCAAGGGGCCACGTGGGGTCATATTGGTCTGAGATAAGTTTGGTTGAAGTTTGCTGGGTGACGCAATGTCCTTAGGACAGGGGTGGGCAAACTTTTTGGCTCGGGGGCCGCATTGACTTTTAAAATTTGACAGACAGGCCAGGTCAGCACAAGATTTTTTGGGAATCGCCCTCCTTCCCCCACTCTTCTCCTCCTTCCCCTCCCCTCAGAGGCCCCCTGAGTCAGGAGTTGCTACCGCCGGCGCGGCTCCGCGCGGCTCCAGTCCCGCGTTGCCTCGGGAAGGGAAAGGCAAAAAGGAAGAGCCGCGGCGGTGCTTTGCAACGGCAGCAGCGGCACCGGAGGCTCAGGCTCAGCGGCTCCTGGTTTTGCCTTTTCCTTCCCAAGGCAACGAAGGACTGGAGCCGCACGGAGCTGCGCCGGTGGTAGCAACTCCTGACAGCCCCAGCCGGACACCTGAGTGGAGCCCGGGTGAAACTGCCTGTTGCTGCTGCCGGAGCACCGCCGGGTCGCCTCCTCCAAGCAGCCTGCCTGCCCACCGGGCTTCCCCTCTGCCGCGCGGCTTGGGGCCAGGCGCGAGCGCCCGTGAGTTAAAAGGAAGCCGAAAGTTGCTGGGAAGTTGCTCGGATGCTGGGAGCAGGCTTTTAAAGTGCCGCCCGAGCAGGACCGCCAAGCCGGGAAACGGGGCACCAAGGCAGGGCAAGGCTCCACCAGCAGCGGCCTAGCTTTAGGTGGCTCCAAGCAGCCCGCCCCGCCCGCCAGGTGGAACCCTTCCCACTCCTCGGCGGGAAGATGCTCCAGCCTGCAAGCTTTGCCTTTGCAAAATTTAAGCCTGGAAGCCCCGGAAAATAAAGGGGGGATCGGCGGGGACTCACCTTCAGAGAGGTCGCACTCGAAGGTGATTTCGAACTCCCAGCCGAGGCCTTTGCAAATTTCTTTTCTTTCCTACCCCTAGATCGCTCCGCACTGTTTTGCAGCTTTGGGGGCCACGCGGCACAGGGCAATACGCCACGCCCAGCGATTTTTTTTCAGGGGCGGGCCGGATTGGACAGACCAATGGCAGCGATTTTTTTTTCAGGGGCGGGCCGCATTGGACAGGCCAACGGGCCGGATGTGGCCCGCGGGCCGTAGTTTGCCCACCCCTGCCTTAGGAGATTGCAATGCAGTGGACTCTGTGTCTTCTAATAAATGGTCCTATTATGTCCTGAAGGTCTTGATCCCATCACCCTGGAGCCGAAGGTCTCTTGTCTTGTAGAGAGGCTGGCCCAGTCCTGCTGAGGCTATTAAGAAAGGTGGGGGCTCTTTTCCAAGAGCATGTTTCTCCTTTAGGAAAATATAATATTCTACCTTTTGAAATATTTCTCAAAGTATTTCATTCTTCAAGGAGAGGGGTGTGTGCTAACTTTGTACACAGGTAGTTTGGGGTTTTATTTTTTTCTTCCAGAGGATTAGTTATCTCATGCCATCAATATACTCCCCTCCTCACCCAAGGATTCAAAGCTTCACGGAAGAGCAGAGGACCCAGGAGAAACCCTTGTGGCCTCACCCTAGGTATCTCCTTGGTGGATCCTTGGTGTTCTGAGAACCTGGTTTGCATATTGATCACCTTTCACTGCCATTCTTGGTGATGTCATCAGGGCAATAAGGTTGGTCCATGATAGGAAGGGTTGGCACACAGCAGCTTCTCCTGCCCGCTTGGGATATTGATTGTTCCTCTTTCATTAATCCTGTTCCTCCTCAACCAGGGTTGTGTAATAGATGGGGGTTGAGGGAGGGGCTCTCTGGCCTGATTAGCATTGCCAACTGGCAGTTAGAAGAACCAACGGAAACTCCTAAATTTCACAAGA